TCGTTAGAAAGGGGTGATGACAGTTAGATCTGGAAAGGGAAAGAGTGCCAAGTAAATATGCTGAAAATACATTGTGTGCATGTAAAAATAAGGGGGTATGATGGCTGTTCCTGGTTGTCAATTTAATTATACTTGGAATCAACTACAATCTAAAAGTGGAGGGCACACCTGTGATCTACATCTTGAGGCTGGAAGACACAGGCTTCTGACCTGGATCTTGACATGGGATGACATGCTTTTGATCCAGATCTTGAGTCATAGTGGCCTTGAAAAGTTTAAGCTCAAGTAAGGTAGTATATACCTTTAACCTCAAGAGACTGAGCAAGCAGATCTCTGAGTTCAAGGCCAGCCTGAGGCAGAGCAAGTTCCAAATCCAGGCATGGTGGTTCACACCTTTAATCTGAGCCACACCTTCTGCTGGAGGCCTATTTTTATAAGGACATTGGAATAAGGAAGACTCACTCTTCTTCGCCTGCCTGCACTTGCCAGCACATCTGTTGGAACTTACTTTTTCAAGATTCCAGCTTATACAGAAGACCAGCTAAAACAACCAGCCTTGTGGGACTGAGCAACTACAAGGTTCTTGAACTTCCCATCCACAGCTACCCATTATTGGGTTAGATAGACTATAGACTGTAAGTCACTCCAATAAATTTTTTTAATATATAGAGACATTCCATAAGTTCTGTAACTCTAGAGAGCCATGACTAATACAGAAGTTGGTGCCTGATTTGGTTCTAGAGGAACAGAAGTATAAAGATGAATCTTTATGTATCTGGAATGGGTTTTATAATTCGCCAGGACTTTCTAATTTATCAGTTCCTGAAAACTCTCCAGTCACTCCCTCTTCTGGGAGCTTGGAGACTATTGGAGGCCTATAGTAAAAACTATATTTCAAACTTAAAAGATGCCAATGCCTTTGATTATTTTGATTCATCAATTATAAATTGCCATTCATAATTGGATGGATTAGGTGACCTGGTATAAGAAACTTTCTACAGTTTGGTGAGAAATAAAATGATTTTGCTGGTTGGTTCCTCTTAGCATCTCTGGATCAACTGATAAAGGAAAAGCATGAACTGCATGGTAAAATTGATTGGCTTTAGGTTCTAATAAAGACTCTAAAGGTTTCTAAGTACACCCTGGAAGAGAATCTTCTCTTCAGTGGGCATAGAACTTAAGTTGCAGAAAATCAAACTGAAGCCCCCGTTATAAGATTGGCTGAATTACAGCAAAAATTCAAATCTTAGCCTTAGATGGTGTCAGCAGTTAAAGTAAGGGTATTAATCATCTGAGAATGGAATCCTATAACTTGGGATGGGGATGTGTGGGAGGATCCTATTGAAACTGAGAACTTAAGAATCCTCAGATTCTCAAGGGTTTACCTCACCTGAGGAAGTAGTACCCTCAGCCCCACCCCTTGAAATATTGCCCTTTTCCCTTGAAGAAATTAATTCTTCATTGTCTGATAAACCAGCAGTAATTTTATCTAAAGAAAATGTCAGGCAAGACAATACTGATGTTTCTCAAGGCCCACCAATAGTTGCCTCTAGATTCATAACTAGACTCAAGACAAAGCAGGCCCCTAGAGAGGAGGTAGGAAGTGTAGTCCATGAGGAAATGCACTACACTACTAAGATTTGCTAATTCATTTACTAAGAGTTTGCTAATTCATTCAAGCAGAAGTCTGGGGAATATGTGTGGGAATAGATTTTAAGGGTGTGGGATAATGGTGGAGGGAATATAAAACTAGATCAGGCTGGGTTTATTCATATGGGCCCACTAAGTGGAGGTTCTAGGTTTAATATGGAAGCTTGCACAGTTAATAAACATGTCAAAAGTGTGAGTAGTTGGCTAAAGCATTTATCAAAAGATGACCTACTGAAAAGGAGTTGGAGATGCCTGATGTTCCTTGGCTTAGAGTTGATGAAGGGTTTTAAGGCTCAGGGAAATTGCAATTCTAGACTGGGTACATTGTGTAAAACCTAATCCTCCACACTGGGAAGGCCCAGAAGACACGTCCTTCATGGATTCTATAAGATGCAAAATGGTGAGAGGGGCACCAGCACATTTGAAGTTCTGTTGTTGCCCTTTTCCTTGTGCCAGACCTTAGGGTTGGAGATACTGCTGCTCACCTGGATGAATGAAATGCAGTGGGTTTAGTTGGGACCTGAAGTAACAGCAGTGGCAGCATTGAATTGACAGATGCAAGGTGATCGTAGTTACTATAATGGGCAACACAGACAAAACCATGTTTATAATGACCTATCCTGTAATGGTCAGCACAGGGGAGGATGTAAGCTCTTCTTACAATTTGCTCTGTCCCAGGCTGGCCTTGAACATAGAGATCTGCCTGCCTCTGTCTCCTGGGATTCTTGGGCTTTTCATTCTCAGCTGCCCATTGAAGTTGAATTAGCTGGACTACAGACTGTAAGTCATTTCAATAAATTCCCTTAATATACAGAGACATTCCATAAATTCTGTGACTCTTGAGAACCCTGACTAATACAGGTGGGTAACTTTTTTTTAATTGAGGGCTAGTGAGCTGACTCAGTTGGTAAAGGTTCATGCCTCTATGTCTGACAACCTGAGTCCATCCCCAGGACTAACATGGTAGAAGGAGAGAATCAACACCCACAAGTTCTCTGACCTCTCTCTATATACACCAAGGCACATGGATAACCAAGTAGACATGTGCACTCAGCCCAAAGTTAAACACCAGGTGGTTTCTGAGGGACACTTGATAGGTTTGCCATAAACTAAAAGTCTAGCTCACAGGGATACAAGAAGGCATAGCATCTTTACCATAAATAAATTTAAATCTTGCTTGGTAGAGCTTGGCCATGTCTGGGAAAATCAAGCCCTGCCTAGGATCATTCAACATTCAACATTTACCACATGTTTCTTAGCTACTTTGGCATTAAAGTATCTCTACGTAAGGAGAGCATTAAATCTTATCTTTTACCCCTAATGTGGTTAACTGTGCAGGAGTTTTTGCTTCTTATGGAGCAAGAGGCTTCAATCAGACTCTGGGATGAAGGGCTACTTTATCTTTCTATCCTGTTTCAGTGTTTCAATGTTTACTGTCCCACCCTGACTAATTTTATGCTAACTTGATATAAGCTAAAGTCATCTGAGGCAAGGGACCCTCAACTAAAAAAAAAGTATCCCCAAAAGATCAGCCTGCAGGCAAAGTAAGCTTGTAAGGCATTTTAAAACAGTTACCGATTAGCCGGGCAGTGGTGGCACACACCTTTAATCCCAGAACTTGGGAGGCAGACACAGGTGGATTTCTGAGTTCGAGGCCAGCCTGGTCTACAGAGTGAGTTCCAGGACAGCCAGGGCTACATAGAGAAACAGTTAGTGATTGATGGGGAAGGGCTGCCCATTGTGTACTTTCTTTTGTCCAACTTTCTCCTTTTCATTATAGAACCGCACAAGAGTGATACAATCAATACTAGGTTGTCTTGAAATCTCCTGTGCCAGAACCATCCGTCCAAATCTCTTGAATTAGCCTCAGGCAGATTTTTAGAACAAAGGCAAAAGCAACCATACTTACTAACATTTTTCCCCTCTGGAATTTGAGCTGGCTCCTAATTGATCTCAGCACTGCCATCCTTGGAAGGCCCATTAAGTTCCACTTAGAGCATTCAGCCACTTTGGTTTTTAGTCCCAAGTCCACAATGAGCAAAGTCCATAAACAGCAAGGTCCAACAAAAAGCAAGGCCAGGTCTGTTACAATACCCTGCTTTTTGGTAGTAACTCGTAGTCACTGTTTTATTTCTGAGAAGAGATACCAGGCCCGGGCTCTTTTCCTCCCCACCTGTGGATCAGAATGCAGCTCTCAGCTACCACCCCATCACCGTGTATTTCACCATGCTCTCCACAATAATGATAATGGACTAACCTCTGAAACTGTAAGCAACCCTCCCACCCCCAGTTAAATGTTTTCTTCTGTTAGAATTGCCTTGGTCATGGTATATGCCTTTATTTGTTGTCCAGAATCAAGTGATCAGACCTGAAAATTATAAACACACAAGAAATAGTAAAAGAACCCATCAGGTTTAATATAGAGACCATGAATTTGAGATGGAGAGAAGGAGGGGATATGAAAGGGTCTGGAGGAAGAAGACATGGTAAGAGTTGGAGAGCGGAAAGGGAAGGAAGAAATGATGTAAATATATTTAAAGAATTTTTGAAAAAAAATTGAAGAGAAAAACCATACAGTTCAGTATCACTCAAAGAAAAAAAATCTTTTCATCACAAAAAGTCACACATTTAAGACTGTATATAATTTCTGCCCTGGTCAATACCTTTATCTTGAATTGTTGTTTTCTAGTACTTTTTTTTTTTTTTTTTGGTTTTTGGTTTTTGGTTTTTCAAGACAGGGTTTCTCTGTGTAGCTAGCTCTGGCTGTCCTGGAACTCACTCTGTAGACCAGGCTGGCCTCGAACTCAGAAATCTGCCTGCCTCTGCCTCCCAAGTGCTGGGATTAAAGGCGTGCGCCACCACTGCCCGGCTCTAGTATATTTTTTAAAGTTTAGACTGTCATGGTTATATCAGAAAAAAAGTCTCTAGCTGAGCCTGAAATAGAACCCAGACCTAGTCTAATCGTTAAAAGTCATCGAGGCAGGTACTGTACATAGCAAGCTTTGGGTGTGTGTAAAATCTGCTTCTATACAGGGTTCATAGCCTAAATTAGAGTCTTTTGAAAAATTGCTATCTTATTTCTATTACACACACACCACAAACTTATGTGATTTTTAGGTATAAGAGTATAAGGAATATGTTGAGTTTCACAAGAAACCCTCCCTGTCTTAAAATTAACTGAAGCCAAGAACCTGTCATCCTGGGCTCCTTCAGCTGCGCGTTGGCGCCATCTACTGTCGAAGCCCCATCCAATCGGAGGCCCCGAGTTGAGACGTGTCCAATCAGACACACAGACGAAGGGCGGAGGGCGGGCTTTGGCTGTCACCCGTCCTTTGTCTGGGAGCCGCCATCTTGGGCTCGGTGTTCCTGCCCTGGAGGCTCCTGCTCCGCTTTGGTGGCGCGGTGACGCTGTGGGTGCTGGACGATGGTGGGAGGACACCAGCGTCCCCCAGAAGTGGACTTGGTGAGTGTGCGTGTGGCGTCCGGAGGTGATGGCACGCGAGCGGGAAGCGCTGTGGCGGAACCGGGGTCTGCGGTGAGGCCTCGCGGGCGCTCCCGCTGGATCCCCTGGGCTGCTCGAGCCCGGGCGTCCTGTCCCTCCGGACGCGGCGACTTCAGCGGGCTCTGCGCTGCTCCGGGAAGGCTGCTTGGTTCCTGCAGGTTGTGTGAGGTTGGGTTCTTTCTGTTCCGTCCGTGAGGCTTTCCCACGAGTCTGAGTATGGCCCACCGGATGCTTAGTTCCTCCTCTCTTCCTGTGAGCCTGTTGGTTTCTCTAATTTTTATAGACGTTTGGGTATCGGATCTCAAATCCAGGATCCTGAATGCCAGCCCCTCCACTCCTCATTCTTTGTAAGCGCCCCCCTTCCTTCTCTGCCGTTTTCTCAAACACCAGCTTCCAGTTTCCATTATGTTAGCTGTTCCTCATTGTACATTTCAAATATGCAGTATTGTATAAGGTAGTTTTCAAAAAAATTTTTTTTCCAGAGTACTAAAGAAAAGTACTTTCTCATTTACTTAAATTTTTTTTTTTTCTGTTTGTGAACACATCGCAAACATATCACAAAAACAGAAAGGACAACAGAGGTCCTTTGACACCTGAACATTGTGCAAAAAGTCATTGAGTTTTATATGAATGCTCTGAATGTTTTTCAGCGTGCATATTACCATATATCAACAAAATGTAATACTTGTTAACCATTTGCATACATAAGTATCTGAGAATAACAGTTTAGTTTTGTTTTAATGTTGGTTATGTTTACACATGTCCTCATAAGTTCAATTGTATTTTAAGTTATTTGTGTGCTTACCCTTGGGGCATCCTTAAGAACTGTCATTTTTTGTTTGAATTAAGTGAGTAGCGCGACTTTAGCGTTCGGATGTTTCTTTGTTTTAATGTTGGCTATGTTTACACATGTCCTCATAAGTTCAATTGTATTTTACGTTATAGTAATGCTCACTGAACCTAGGAGAAAACTAAAGTGTTCAGTACCTTATGCACGGTAGGACACATCGAGAATTCAGTTCAATCAAGAACAAACTAATTGCCAAGTCGAGCAAATGATATTATTTAGAAAATATAGGTAAGATTGAAACACCACAACTTAGCAGTAGATTATTTTATTTATACTTGGAGCAGAGGCAGAAACCTCATCTACAAGTAGAGGAGGGTAAATGATAGCGAGATTTGACGTGTCAGCCACTTGCCAGTATTTCTCTGTCCATGACAGGACAGTCCCACCGAAAGGAGCTGTTTCCTGAATGCTGGATCTGGAGTATTGCTTGTGAGGCTGTGAATGCAAATGTGTATCGGTCTGGTGCCTGTACTGCAAAGGTCCTTGAGTGCATTCACTTTCTTTCAGATCCCTGCTATCTGAGTGGAGGAGGCCATTGGAGGAGGAGAGTCAAGATGCTCCAGTTGACAGTCAGGTGACCGTCTGAAGCTCATCTGCCTCTTCAACATCAGGTAAGTGTACATACCAAAGAGAGCCCATCTGATCCTAGCCTAAATTACTGACCAGCCCAATCATGCTGTATTTAAAAAAATTTGAAGGGTCTTGTTATCTAGTGTAGATAATTATCATCCCCTATGATAGACAGGATTCCAAAATTTAATGACACTTTGCTAATATTGGCAAAACAGTAGGTACATTATAGGTCATGATTTCCTCTAAGTGAAAGATGAGTCACATAGAAAAACTGTAGACATGAATACATAGGATTGGTGTTCAGCTCACAGCACCTGTTAGGCTGGCTTCATTCATTTGCGGGTTGGTGACTCTGCTGTTACTTAGGGCCCCAAAGGCATCCCCTCCTGTACAATTGAAGGCACTGGGTTGAGGAGTCGGGCAGATGAACATAGGGGGCAGGTTTTCCCGGTTTTGCTAGGGCCTTTTACTCTGAAGCTCGCCATCTTGGGATGCGTCCCTAGGCTCAGTCTCCTCTACTCTGGAGGTCTAGGTGGCTGTGCTGTAGACTCTGTTGCCCTGTGACGTGCTGGTGCGGGGAGTTCCATAGGGAGGACGCTCGATGTCCTGGAAGCCAGAAATGGTGAGTGTGTGGGTCAGTGTTTTGAACCAGGGACTATAATTGGTGGGAATCATTTGTGGCTCTGGAGTCTACAGGCCAGAACCCTGTACTGGGTCACTGGGCCCCAGGTCCCCTCTTGCTGTGGGGTGGGTGATGGGCTGGTAATTGGGACCCAGGTGGCCTGTCTCATTCCTGCAAGGTGACTTCAGCTCCTCTTGGAGCTCTTCGAGCCTTTAGTTCCTTACCGACTGTAGGGCTGCAGGCTGGGCCATCAATGGGCACAGGGTACATTGTATTCTGTTCCCAAATGATTTTTTAAAAAGTTTTTACAGAATCATGAGTTTAACATTTAACACAAATGATACAACTTTAAAAAATACTTCACGATTTCATACATATGCATAGCATACTTAGATCAATGCCCTATAGCCTGTTTTCATCTTCCCTTCTCACTGAATATTCCTTCCCAAGAAGCCCTTCTCTTTCTTGTCTGTTTTTTTTTGTTCTTAAATTATTTTTTAATGGCCCACTGCTGTCATGAGTGTGGCAGGGGGATTATTGACTGCAAGGTGGCAACATCACTGAGGAATATTCAGCATTTACATAGTGTCCATATTCCTTAAGGAGTGGTGGGGCCTTGTCTCTCCATGGTGGACTGCACTGGGCCCTTCCTGTGTAGGTAGCCACTGCCAGTCTGTTTCCCCAGGCTCCTTGGCCTGCCTGTAGTTAGCCTTTGGTCTTTGGCCCCTTTCTACTCTGTGTTGCTTGAGCTGAGGCCACTGGCTATCTTCTCACTGCCTTGTCTATCTCACTGCATTTTCAGCTTAAAGCCTCCTCTTTCCCCAGCATTCTGCCCCTCTGTTCAGAATAAAGTCTGCCTTTTGTTACACCAATCTTCTTGTTCTTGGAGTCACCTGTAGACAGCTTCTGTTCCTCTATCTGACACAAGAAGTTCCCATTTTCAATCAGTCGTAATCTTCTTTCTTACTTGATATCTTTTTCATTGTAGGATTTAAAAAAAAAATGTGTCAAACTCGGAACTTCACACATCTTAGCTCACTGCTGTGGAAATGACCTACATTCCTAGTCCTCAGAACTGTTTTTTCCTTTCTTTTTTCTGCCTGAACTAGAGGTGGCAACTTTTAATTTATTTTAAAGCAGAAAAGATGGAAACATACTTAGATTTTCGTACTGCGTGTCCTCAGATGTCTGCTGGTTCCTTGCTCCTCTTTCCTCACTGTAAGCTGGCTGGTTACACTGTCTGTTCATAGCTAAATGCAGTGGCCAGCATCTGAGATACACTGATGTCATTTATGTTAAGTCCCTATGGTGAGTACAGGACATGTCATGTAACACTTATGCTCTTATCCTAAATAGTATAAATAAAACGTAGCTGAAGTTACACTGCTTAGTATGTATTAATTGCCATTATTTTTTTTTTTTTTTTTTTTTTTTTGGTTTTTTGAGACAGGGTTTCTCTGTGTAGTCCTGGCTGTCCTGGAACTCACTCTGTAGACCAGGCTGGCCTCGAACTCAGAAATCCACCTGCCTCTGCCTCCCAAGTGCTGGGATTAAAGGCATGTACCACCACTGCCTGGCTTAAATGCCGTTCTTATTTGTAGTATTTGTTGACTTTTAATTAGCATTTAAGACAATGTATAACAGCATCCTTACACTACTTACTATTTCTTATGATTTTTGTTATGGTGCTAATTTTCCAATGAGCTTTTTTTAATCTGTCATCAAGAGCATAGAGCATTTATTTCTCTGACTAAGAGTACCAGAGGAAAAATATTGTTTTTTCTCTGTGTAGTACATTCTCAAACCTCCTGACAAAGGGAAGATGTGAATGTGTGGATGACACTCCTGACTTCTGCTTAGAAGACTGTACATCACTTGCATTCCCAGGGCAGAGGGAGCCCAGATAGCAAAGGGAGGCTCCTGTGAATGAGGCTTCTTCAGTATTTGACTCTGATAAAGCCATGGCAAATCAGAGCTATGATAGTTGAGGTGTTGAACTTTTCCCCATAGCTTCTCTATTGAAGCCTATATCTAAATCCACATGCCAACTGTAGGTGAAGATAGGCCTTACAGCAAGTAATTAGCAGTAAATGAAGAAATATATGTGGGATGTTAACACTATATAGTTGAACTTCCTCATCCAAAAGATGAGGAAAAGCTGGGTGCTAGCACAGTGTAAGAGCATTTATCTACCATGCCCAAATCGACAATTTGAGCCTCAGAATTGAAAACATGAAAACAAGAGGAAGGGAGAATTAACTTGTTCTTCCATGGAAAGATACTCTGATTAGGATGTCACCTAGATGTCAAGAAGGGAGACTGTCAGGAACTGAACCACCTGCAACCTTGACTATTTATGAACTGTGACAAAATTTTGCTTTCACCCATTCTGTATAAGTTTTTATTGCAACCCATGGTAACTAATACTGGGGGAAGCATTGGATTTGGAAGAGTAGGAATAAAACCTATACTACTCTGTTGCTATGTGTGTGTTCATTTTTTAAGACGTAATTTATTTTTTGAAGCATGTATGTAGAGATCAGAGGACCACCTTTGAGAGTTGGTTCTCCTTCCACTGTATAGGACCTAGGGATTGAACTCAGATCGTCAGACTTCCTGATAGTCATCTTTACCCTCTGATGTATCTTGCCACTGTGTAAGTTTTTTTTTTCATAACAACATTGAAATCAACTGTTTGACATCTAGGAAGAAAATTTACTGGCCTAAGAAAAGTTATTGATTCTATGTTGTAGACTTTATCCATTTATTTGCTGTATATTTGTTATGTAAATTTTATGTTCATTAATGTAATTTTTGTTACTCTTTTGATAACCTTAATTTGTTTTATTCTCTGATAAGTTGGTATATTTTTGTTGCTACAGTAGGTACCTTTAATTTGGTATTTTGTTATTGTCTGGACATATTCTTATGTGTGAACATTTTCTGTGATGGCAATTGCTCAACTGAAGTTGCCTCTTCTCAGTTATGTCAAGTTGACAAGTAAGAGTAGCCATCACAGGAAATCTATTAGGCCAGCTGACTAAGCTAGAGGAAGAGAGCCAGTAAGTAGCATTTCTCTCTTGTCTCTGCTTCAGTTCTGCCTCAGTTCCTGCCTACTGGTTCCTATTTGAGTTCTTGACTTAGTACCCCTTGATGATGGGCAGTAACCTGAAAGGTGTAATAAATTTTTTTCTCTTAAGATTGGTTTTGATCAGAAGCAAATTAAAAATTTGCTGTGTTATTATTTATTTGCATTGCTGGATGTTGAAACCAGGGCTTCATGCGCTAGGAAATCTGTCACTGAACTACGGCCCCAGTCTTTTTGTCACCTGTATTGTGTGTTTATTCAATCCTCCTATTGGGAATAATGTCCAGGGAATTCTCTTTGGATTGTAGGTATATGTTGTGAAGATGATAGTCTTTCTTGTTTCTGTTTCATTGGATTTGCAAATTTTCATTATAGAGTGCTAAATACTTCTGCGATTGAGCATATTAACTCTGCAGTTTTGTGAATATTTCTTAGGAAGGCGTCAAATTCTATTCACCCAGACAACACACCAGTGAATAGGTGAAAGAAACTAATTCTACTCCAGTCTTGTTCAGTGAACTTCAGTTAGGATTACTTAGAGTGTTTAGTAACTCGCAAGCAGTTATACCACTGAAGGGAATGTCTCTCTAGTTGTACATCTTTGAGAAGGATTAGAGCCCCTCTTCTTATAACTATCAACTGTCTATAAATCAGAGTTAATGATGTAGATGGTCAAGTGTTACCTTGGTTCATGTTAATTTACGTATCACATAGCACCCGTGTCTCCTTTTAGACTCTTTGATTAAGGAAATAGGTAATAGTTACTTTTATGTGGACCCTAGCAGTAGCAGTTATTTTTGTTTAGTGAGAAAATACAGAATTGGCTATAACTACAATTATTTTTTAAAGCAGGTTTAATTTTTAAAAATTTTATGTATATGAGTGTGTGAATATTTTGCTCACATTTATGTAACATGACTGTGCCTGGTGCCCTTGAACACAATTAGATCCTCTGAATAGGAGTTCTAGATGCTTGTGAACTACCATCTGGGTGCAGGGAATCAAATTTGGGTTCCTTGGAAGAACTGATGAGCCATCTCTCCAGCCTTGGACAATTACTTATGTATATAATCGACTATTAACAAACAAGTCCTTGAAATTAAACTGTTAGAATTACTTAAATACAAAATCATTGGATAGTAAATGATTTGACCATTTACTGGAATTATTACTCATTACACGAGCATACTCAGACACAGTATTCTGTGTAGTTCTGTTAGCCTATCTTATGTCCTTTGTGCTGTTGTAATTGGACTTCTGTTGCTTCATTTTCATGAGAACACATCCATGAAAACATTTGATATTTCTTTCTTGTATAAGTAGCAGATGCTTTCTGTTTTCTACATCATTGTCTTGTTGTACATAGAACATTGCTTTTTTTTGTACACATCAACAATGTGTTTGTTCTTGTGTCTTTGGACTATATCAGGTGCTTTCCTGAGGAGAATTTTATTCATTTATTCCTAGTAATAAGGGTTGTTCAGAAACTTGAAGAAAAACTGGATAATTACATTTTCTTTAATTATTAAATTCATGTGTAGGTAACATAACACTTTCTTCCACGATACAGAGTTTAAAGCAAGTTTTGTTATATAAGACAGGTATCCACATAGGATGAGCTCTCGGCTGAGGAGAAATGTGTCATTACAGGGGTTGGTGTCGTTTGAGGATATAGCTGTGGAATTCACCTGGCAGGAATGGCAGGACCTGAATGAAGGTCAGAGAACTCTCTACAGGGATGTGATGCTGGAGAACTACAGCAACTTGCTGTTCTTGGGTAAGTGGAGAATGGAGTATAAACTGTCTATCAACTAATTGGCCTCATCATGGGATGTCTCCTCAAATGAAGATTCTTTCTTCTCTCTGCCTGGCTTTGAAGTATAATATTTTCCATTTATAGGGCACTGCAAGACCAAACCTGAGCTGATCTTCAATTTGGAGCAGAGACTTGGGTCATGGATTGTAGAAGGTTCACACCAGAGCATACCAGGTACATCAGTGTACAGTAGTTAGGGATTAGGATGATGAGTACTAATAGATACAGTAACAACATTTAGCCCCATGTCTCAGTCCTAAAAATGGCTAATCTCATTAAGACGTTTGTCTAATACACTCTCTGATTGGTCAGGGTTTACTGCTGTGAACAGGCACCATGACCAAGGCAACTCTTATTAGGACAACCTTTAATTGGGGCCGGCTTACAGGTTCAGAGGTTCAGTCCATTATCATCAAGGTGGGAACATGGCAGCTTCCAGGCAGGCATGGTGCAGGAGGAGCTGAGAGTTCTACATCTTCACCTGAAGGCTGCTAATGGAAGACTGACTTCAGGCAGCTAGGGTGAAGGTCTTAAGCCCAAGCCCACAGTGACACACCTACTCCAACAAGGCCATACCTCCTAATAGTGCCACTTTCTTGGCCAAGCATATGCAAACCATCACACTCTCCACAGAAGACTTTTTGTCATTATTATTGAAATATGTTATTTTTTTGATTTACTATAAATTCATTCCCTATATGAATCTTAGAGAAAGAACATATATTGTTTTATTTTAGGAAAAGTCTAATAAACTGAGTTGTATGGAAGTAGGTAGGCATTTATATTATTTATGTAATTAAATTGAGATGAGTATTTTCCAAGTTTGCTACATAATATGCAAGTGGCTGTCTACCAAAGTCTTAGTCATGGGTATTAATAACAGATTTATTAATGAATAACTTATGGCTAGTATTAAATTATAGGTATTGTTGCAGTTATAGGTGAAATTTGTGAGAGTAGCGTTAGAGTGTTCTAGAGTAAAGCAGTAGATTAAGAATGTTTTATGGTTCTCTGAATAAAAAGAGAGATGATAACAAAGGACAAACTATCCCAAGTCTTTAGGGCAAGTAAAAAGAAATCAAAACTATAATGCATGTGCATACACACACATAGAGAACTATAATGTACATGCACGCACACATGCATGCACGGAATAGATAGCCTGTAATTATCTTCCTTTGTGGAGAAAACCCAAAGCCATAAGCCCAAAGCTAAGTCTGGAGAATGTAGGCAGCCCTAGGGACAAGGGGATAGAGAAGAGACCCACAGTTGTCAGAAAGGCTAAATCCAGTTGAGTGTTCCTTGTCTGAAAGTGACTTCTTCATAACAGGCTAGCATTGGAGGAGAAACCAGTTAGGTTACTCCCAGAATACAACTTGAGAGAGGTACTTGAGGTAGTACTCATTCAGTTTTTGAGACTAAGCGATACTGTGGACATGAAATCAAGAAATAATCACAAATCACAGAGGGTATAGACATGCTATCACCATTACTAATTTAACAAACTAGAAGACCTTTTAAGATAAAAGATTTGATATGTATCTTCCAATAAGAATCCTAAGTTTAAGTGTTCTTAAAGCAGATGGCCAGATGGAATAAAGACTTGCTGTGTGTAGCATCTCCTCTCACTGGACAAAGTACATATATGTTTAAAATATGAATAATATTTTTTGAAACAAGCATTGTAAAGGTACTCATCAGTAAGCCAACTTCATACCAAATTAATTTGGATGGGATAAAGAAATTTACTGAATATTCATAAAGGAACCAATCCATTAAAATATAGTTATTCCAAATGCTTATTATGCACTGAATATTGGTGTTTTGATTTCCATTAAAAAAAAAAAGGAAGACAAGTTCTGAATAGAGCAGTAGCATTCTTGGAGTGAATAATGTATCAGAAAAAAATACAACAAAGGAATCTGACCAAGGCAACATCCACTTTTATGAGTGAAATACGAGTAGCTAAACTAGTCTATCAACAGCCAACTCAGTAACAAGATTTAATGGGGCAACTTTATAGTTAAACAATGAGACCGAAGAGACATCTATAGTATATACTGTACCAGTGATTGTGAAATACACATCTAAGTTTTCTCTAAAACAAATCAAAATTGAGGTTGTAAAGCTAGCTCTAATAAATAAAAAAACATTGAAAATAATTTCTTTAACCTTTTAAAATCAAAACCAAAAATGCTAAAACCCAATAGCCAGAGAAATGAAAAAAACAGATAATGTGTTTGAATAGTTTTGAGTGATCAGTGGCTTGTAAAAATATAGGTGAGTTAAATTTCCAGAATGAAGTAAACTCAGAAAAGTAGAAGGGGAGTGTGTGGAAGGAGGAAGAGAACCTGCAGGTGTGGGCAGAGAAAGGTAGATATGCGCATTATCAGTGTACATTGTGTACACATACAAAAACAAGATAGTATTCAATTGTGTACATGCATAAAATCACAGTACATATTAGTTTGTACCATTAATATATGTTAAACTTAGAAGTCACATATGACATTGAGTTACGTAAAGGAAAATTCATACCATTTTGGTAAGCAGTTTAAGAACTTAATTTTTTCATTTTTGGTAAAATGATTTAAAAGCAAATAGATGGGTAAAGCATAAAGATTAAATTAAGAATTTGTGTGTGATGTGTGTGTTATCCCAGGATAGTCCAGTTTGTGCATATTAATATGTCTGTCATTTTAGATTTCCAGAAAATGAATACCCCGAACAAGACCAGTCCAGAAACCAAAGCAAGACATGTGTGGCAAGTTGCCCTCAACAGTGATACATCAAAGGAGTTGGCTGGAATAGGGAATACTTGCAATGTTAGCACAAACCACATTTCAAATCAGACTGTAAAGAATGAGAACTCACTAGGAATGAGTCCTAGAAAGTTCATTCTGTGGAAGGATGTGTATCTCTATAGTGATGTTGATGAGATAGAAGTTGGAGAAGAACCTGATGATCTTAATGGAACTGTAAAATCTGTCAATCGTCCAGAGCATGTTAGTCTATATAAGTTTCAAAGTTCACAAAGTTACTTTCAGAGTCTTATACCAGGGAAATCCTTCAACACAAAAGCAGTATTACTTACTCATAAGTTCAATGAATATGCAAAATCCTTAGGTGATACAGCATTTATTGGCAAAGAGATGGCTCAGATAAGGGTGAAATCTTTTGAATGTAATGAATCAGAGATAAAGTGTAACAAGCCTGACCATAATGAAAATGAACCAATGCATGTGGGAGAGAAACATTACAAATGTAGTGACTTTGAGAACCCTTTTATTATTGAGTCATACCTTCCAAAACATAAAGGACAACATGAAAAGCTCTTTGTCCAGAAGGAATATGAGTTTTCTCAACAGTCAGAAGTGAGTCTTCATCAGAAAATCCGCAGAGGGAAAAAGACATATGAATGTAAAATATGTGGCAAGTGCTTTTATTGGAAAACAAGCTTCAATAGACATCAGAGCACTCACACTGGTGAGAAGCCCTATGAATGTACGGAATGTAGTAAAGCTTTCTGCCAAAAGTCACACCTCACTCAGCATCAGAGAGTTCATACAGGTGAGAGGCCATATATATGTTTTGAATGCAGGAAAGCTTTCTATCGTAAGTCAGAGCTTACTGACCATCAGAGAATTCATACAGGTGAGAAGCCATATGAGTGTAAGGAATGTGGGAAAGCTTTTTGCCAAAAGCCCCAACTTACTCTACATCAGAGAATTCATACAGGTGAGAAGCCCTATGAGTGTGCAGAATGTGGGAAAGCCTTCTCCACCAAGTCCTATTTAACTGTACATCAGAGAACTCACACAGGTGAGAAACCTTATGAATGTACGGTATGTAGGAAGTCATTTATCTGTAAGTCAAGTTTCAGTCATCATTGGAGAACTCATACAGGTGAAAAACCCTACGAATGTAAGCAGTGTATGAAGACCTTCTACCGTAAGTCAGGCCTGACTCGACACCAGAGAACTCACACAGGTGACAAACGCTATGAATGTCAGTTGTGTCAGAAAGCTTTTTACTGCACTTCACATCTCATTGTACATCAGCGAACGCACACAGGAGAGAAGCCTTATGAGTGTAAGGAATGCAGGAAAGCTTTCTATGATAAGTCAAACCTTAAACGGCATCAGAAGATTCATACTATGAAGAAAGCCTCTGAATGCAAACAATCTAACAAATTTTTTCTAAGTAGTACTTCTCAACATCAGACAATGTATTATGAATATGAAGAATGCAAGAAAGCTTTCCACCAGAAAACCAACTTTACTTAAACATCCAACACTCTTACAGGTAAGGGAACCCTGTGATTAGAAAACATTTATCCAAAAGTCAGATCTTATGTACATTGGGCCACTTAAACAAGGGATTAAACCAAATAATGAATAAACAGTGAAGGAAAACTTTGATTCTTGTTTGTTTATCAAAGAACTCACAACTGACTGTGGCAAATAATTTAGCCAGCTATATTAACCCAATATAAGATAGATGTTTATGATGGAGGATCACATAGAGGAAGACACCATGACTTAGGAGAAAATAGGGCAAAGTTTTCTACTTGAGGCTCTCTTTGACATACTACCAGAACCTAGTGTGAAACCAGTGAAAGTGAGGAATGCCCCAAACTCTGAGTAGAATTTGGAAGTCATTGCTGGGTGTTGGGACATGTGTGTAATCTCAATACTTGGCAGTTTGAAGAAAGAAGATGAGTTGTGGTCTAACCTTGGCTACAAAGCAATTTCAAACCCAGCCTGGGTTACATGAGGACTTTAAAAAAAAATGACAATTCAAAATATAAGAATCTGAGAGTCTAAACTTCACAAATGGTATAAAGGGGACAAAGGACAATACAATTTGGGGTAAATTGCTATACCTCACTTCCATTTGAATCAAAGATGCTATAGGAGCTCTATTTGAGTTTTGTAGAAACTTGTGGAACTTTGTGGCAATTACATGACACTGAGCATCACTCATAAAAGTAATCCCACTTGAATTTAAGCAGTTAGGGCTGAGAATGTAGCTCAGTGACAGTGTTTGGCTGCTATTGGTGTTATCTGTCCTTCATATAAATTACATCTACGATCACCTTAAAGGCTGTATTACATTTATCTGTACATGTCCATAGCACAGCATACAGCATATCAAAGTCAGAGGACAAACCCCAGAGTCCGTTCTCTTCTACCTGGTGGGTTCTTAGTATCAAACTCAGGTTGTCAGGTTTGGCAGAAAACATCTTTACTCTCTGAGCCATCTCTCCCGCTCCTGTATTTTATACTCAACAACTGTTGTAAATTAAAGCGATACTGGAGGTATTTTCAGCCAGTCCAGAATGCTTTACTGGGAAGGACATTTCTTTTTATCACTTATAGTAGTCTCCCTAACTTCAGTTTGGAGATAAGGTCTTGGTACAAATGCCCTGAAGTCCCGCTTATCTTGCCTTAGGCTTGTGAGTGCTTAGATTAAATGTATGTGCTACTATGCCCAGCCATAAAATTTTAAGGAAGAAAAAAAATTTTCTGGAGTTATTGGATGGTGTGTTCATGTTCTAAATACCCCATCAATGTTACAAAAAAATTGAGCAAATGAAAAGATTTGATTTTACAGCTCAGTGAAAGGATGACAAATCTGTCTCAAATGGTAATGATGGTATTGTGAAATTTCAAAGATGCTGGATTAGATACCTATATCTTGTTCATCACAGACAAGCAGAAGGCAGGGAAGCTGAAGAAGATAATGAAAGGTGAAATAAAATACACTCTCATTTGGATTGTATTAAAATCCTAAAATGTAAAAACATTCTGATCATATTACTTGGGCGTTAATTGGAAATAATAAATGATTTAAAAATATTATTTCAAGTTGTATTCAGTTGTGTACAAACAAGCAGGATGGTCATTCCCAGTCAGCATAAACTGACCTCCAATCTGGGGCATTTGTGGTTGACATAAATGAAAGTTGATAGTTATAATGAAATCTAGTGGACAAGCTTGAACACAATTCATAATAGAACTATGTTCTGCATTTTATAGTTTTAGAAATCTGAATAAAGGCACTCATCTAGAGTACAGAAAATTTGTTACATATGTAAAAATACATTAAGAGACTAAAGAGGTAGGGTACATGCCTTTTTATGTATGCAGTATTCCTTGCAATTTCAGACTTACAGTATTAAATTACTGTGGTTGTATTATTTAACTTGGTATTGCTGTGGCCAACTATCTGATAGAACCTATTTAAGGGTGTAAATATTTATTTTGGGCCATAGTTTCAAATAGTCAATAGTTTACCCCTTTACTATGGGTAGGTCATGGTTAGCAAAAGGGTCAGGAAAACAATGTTAAAACAAATAGGAAACAGCAAAGAAGTGACTGAATACCAAGTTTACTCTTTAATGATATACTACAGCAACATATATTAAAAACAAATATGTCCCCCCTTCCCCCAAAAAAAGACAAGCAAAAGGTCTTCCTGGATTTTATATCACCTTCCAAAGTATTGGCACTGTCCAAGAACCAAGCATCCAAGCCTTTGGGTAACATTTCAGATTCAACTTGATATATACAGTTTTACATTAAACAACTAACCCATTAATATTTTGTTAAATATATCATGTTTATATAGAGTTGTATGGATATTTTTATATAAACTACTCAGACTGAAACTGACAAGTTATCCACTGCCCCAAAGTGGGTGATTGGTAATGCATTTTCAAGGTTTAATCAACATAGAACTTGATATTCTAATATAAATTCATGTTGAAATGCAGAAGCTGGTATATAATTGTTCATAGTTGACATCTGAATTAAAGCATTTTTTGGCAAACAATTTTTGTTTTAATTTTTTTCCCCTTTTAGTTAAATTATGTGGGGTGGTTGGTTGTGAGAGGCAGCTGGGTACCTGGTCGAGCACACTTCGAACCCTGGAGACCCTGAAGGGACAGTTAGGAGTTTGGTGGTGCTCCTGGGCCCCCTGGTTCCTTTCAAATAGCCACAGCCTTCTACAGCCCCTCCCAAAGAGGTTTGTGGTCATTAGTCACATAGCACAGGTAGAGAGTGTGACTACAGGCTGCAGAGCCTCAAGACAGCTCCGTATTCATGAGATACCTAAAGGCCAGAGGGCCTAGCCGATTAAGCATTCTTTCCCAGACCCTCCTCCTTGCAAAAGGTATTTAACCTGAGGCTCAACCTGAGAATATGGGGTATAGTTTCATCCATTTTCCACCATGACAATAAATGTCTTAAGATCACATCTTAAGACCTGAACTACCTCTCTTCTTTGGGTCTTGCTGTGGGGAACCATGGAGAAGGTCTTCAACTACCAAGTCGCTGTCTAACGTCCTGCTGGCCTCTCTACATTTCAGCCATAGAGGCTGCCAACTCAAGTGAGCCAACTAGAGCTAGCCAAGGCCCAGCCAATAGAGTCACCGTGACTAAGAGTCTCTTTTCTGCGGGACGCTGCCAGAACTCATCCCCCTCGCCCCTTCGGCTGCGGGTTGATCCAGCCTGTATGCCTATTCTTGGTCCTTCCGAGCGGTGCCTGAGAGCCCAAGGGCCTGAGACCAGTTGGTCCCTGGCCGCCTCTTGGCCCAGGGATTCCCAAGCTGAGAGCTCCGGCCCCCATGGAGTCTCAGGCTGTGTTCTACCCACGCCCAGAGTGGAGCCCTGTGGCTTCCCACAGCCAGAAGTTCGCCCAGCACAGTGTGGAATGAACTCGGTAGAATTCCTGTGCCTCTGCTTCCCTGAGCCTTGGCCCTGGCCCCTTGGGGCGGCAGATACGCAGATACTCGGGATCCACAACTCAACCCACAGGACCCACACCCATGCTCAAGACACAGCCCAACAAAATTATAAAAATACCACTTGTCTCCCTTACCCTTTCCCTCTCTGGGTTCTCCCTCCAATTCAATGCCCCAATCCTCACTCAAATTGAGAGCCTCTTTATTTTAGTTACACATATACCTACAAATATATAAATACAACTTACTGAGTTCATTTTTGTTGGTGTGTATATAGATTCAGGGCTGACCCCTTTGTAGTGGATAATCAGTCTAATTGGGGTTCATTTCTGGGAGAGAATAATTCTGTTTCTCAGTAGTCATGTTAGTTCCACAAAATGAGAGTAAAGAACACTGACTTTTTTTTTAAAAAAAGCAATTAAGAATTGCAAGTTAAGAATTTAAGAAGTAAGCAAACTTTGTTTTCTGTCAGGCCCATCTTCATAAGTTAGCATAGCCCCAAACAGGAGAAAAAAATATTAAAAAATATAGCCACTAAATTGCAAGGCCAGGGGATTTTCAAGGGTTTTAAGTTATTGTAGGAACTTGGCAGAACATCTCAAAATTATTTGCTAGAGCATCTTATCAGGGTGGAGACCAGGATATAGTGTTGAATATATCAAATTCCAGAAAATGTGTCAAGACATTGTCCAACTTAAGTTTTACAGGAAACAGGAATGAACTTGTAACAGGATGGCTTCTGAAGATGAAGCCAGGCTGGTTCATCAAATAGTTGCTTCCAGTTCTTTGTTTAGGGGTTGGACCCTGTGAGATCCCCCTGCCCCTTTTACATTAGCTTGTCTTTATATGTTCATTGTTCAGGTTTTACTTATTGTCTTGTTTTCTATTGTGAAGAGATGCCATGATCATGGCGATTTATAAAAGAAAGCATTTATATTAGGGTTCTTTAGAGTAACGGAACTTATAGAATGAATTGCTCTATATAGAGGGGATTTATTAGAATGACTTAGGCTATATACAGTCCAGCTAATCCAACAATTTCTGGCTATGAGTAGAAAGTCCCAAGAATCCAGGAGTTCCTCAGTCCAGGAGACTAGATTTCTTCTCTGGTCTTCAGTCTACACTGGAATCCCTAAGAAGTAGGATCTAGTGCCTATGAAGGAATGGGCTTGTTAGCATGGTGAGAGCAAGCAAAGACTAAAAGCTTCCTCTTTATATAGGTTTTCAGCTGAAGGTCTGGCCCGGATTAAAAGTGTGTCCCCTTCTCAAAAATTGGATTAAAAGTTTATGCCTTCTGTATTCTGAATTAGAAATAGATCTTACTACTTCCTACTTCTATTCAAGAGAAAATATTCCTCCCAGGTATGCATATCATTTTTGGATTTTAGTTAATTCTAGATGTAATTAAATTTAAAACAAAGAATAGCTATTACAGCATTTAATTAGCCCTTGCTTATAGTTCCAGAGAGTGAGTCCATGACAATCATGGCAGAAAGCATAGGCAGGTAGGCATGGTTCTGGAGCAGTAGCTGAGAGTTTACAACTTATCTTCGAGTTGAAGGCAGAGATAGACTGGTCCTGGCATCGGCTTTTGAAACTTCAAAGTACCCTCCAGTGGCTTACTTCTTCCAATAAAGTCCAACTAGCCCTTTTCAAACAGTTCCACCAACTGGGGACCAAGAATTCAAACATATGAGCCTATGGGGGCATTCTCTTCCAAACCACCACATTTATGCAGCTCTTTCCCTCTCTCCCTCATTCCTTCCCTCCCTCCCTCCTTCCTTTGTTTCTTCCTTTGTTTGTTTCTTTCTTCCTTTAAAACTCTTTTTGAAAATTAATTGCATTATTTATTTAGGTCCCAAGCGTTGTCCCCCATCCTGGTCCCCACTCCCAGAGTTCTTTATCCAGCCCCACTTTACCCTTGAGAGGGTACTCCCTGCTTCTGGCATCCTCCTTTCCTGGATTCTACTGAGGCCAGAGAAAGCAATCCTCTGGTACATATGTGCTGAGGGCCTCAGACCAGCCGGTGCATGCTCTTTGGTTGGTGGCTTAGTCTTTGGAAGCCCCCAGAGGTCCGGATTAGTTGGCACTGTTGGTCTCCCTATGGGGTTGACATTCTCAGCTCCTTCAACACTTCAACTAACTCTTCTATAGGGGTTCCTGACCTCAGTACAATGTCTGGCTCTAAGTATCTGCATCTGTCTCAACCAATTGATGATAGAGTCTCTCAGAGGACAGCCATGCTGGGCTGCTGGCTGCAAGCACTGCATAGCATCAGTAATAGTGTCAGGGTTTGGTGCCGCACATGAGATGGATCACAAGCTGGGCTGGTCACTGGATGATATTTCCCTCAGTCTCTACTCCATTTTGGTCCCTGCATTTCTTTTAGACAGCAACAATTCTGGCTGGGTCAAAAATTTTGAGGGTGGGTTGCTAACCCCAACCCATCACTGGAGGCCCTGTCTATCTACTGGAGGTGGTCTCCTAAGGTTCAATCTCCCCACTGTTGAGCATTTCACCTAAGATCATCCTCATTGAGTCTTGGGAGCCTCTCACATCCTAGGACTCTGAGATTTTTCTAGAGGTCTCCCTCACCTCTCACCCCCCGCAAATGCATATGTCTATTCATTCTCCTGCCCCTCTGGGCTTTTCTCTTGACTCCCCCATACCTGATCCTGCCCCCTTTCCCTTTCCCCTCCCTTCTCCCACCCAGGTTCCTCCTTCCCTCTGCCACCTGTGATTATTTTGTTCATCCTTCTAAGTGGGATTGAAGTATCCTCACTTGGACCTTTCTTCTTGTTAAAATTCTTATGGTCTGTGGGTTGTATCATGGATATTCTGTACTTTTTCGCTAATATCCACTTATCAGTAAGTACATACCATGCATATCCCTTTGTGTCTGGATTACCTCACTCAGGATGATATTTTCTAGTTCCATCCATTTGCCTGCAAAATTCATGATGTCTCATTTTAAATAATAGCTGAATAGTATTTCATTATGTAAATGAGCCACATTTTCTGTATCCATTCTTTGGTTGAGGGACATCTGAGCTGCTTTCAGTTTCTGGCCATTATGAATAAGGCTGCTAATAAACATGTGTCCTTGTGGTATAGTGGAACGTCCTTTGGATATATGTCCAGGAGTGATATAGTTGGGTCTTCACGTAGAACTATTTCGAATGTTCTAAGAAACCTCCAGATTGATTTCCAGAGTGGTTGTACCAGTTTGCAATTACACCAGCAATGGAGGAGTATTCCTCTTTCTCCACATCCTCACCAGCATGTACTGTTGCTTGAGATCTTGATCTTAGCCATTTTGAATGGTATAACGTGGAATCTTAGGGTCGTTTTGATTTTCATCTCCCTGATGACTAAGGATTTTGAACATTTCCTAAAGTACTTCTTGGCCATTTGAGATTCCTCTGTTGAAAATTCTGTTTAGTTCTGTGTCCCATTTTTTAATTGGGTTATTTGGTTGTTTGGAGTCTAACTTCTTGAGTTCTTTATATATTTTTGATATAAGCCCTCTACTAAATGTAGGGTTAGTGAAGATCTTTTCCTAATCTGTAGTTGCTGTATTGTCCTATTGACAGTGTCCTTTGCCTTACAGAAGCTTTCAGGTGAATGAGGTCTCATTTATCAATTATTGATCTTACAGCATGAGTTATTAGTGTTCTGTTTAGGAATTTCCCCCTGTGCCAATGATTTCCAGGTTATTTCTCTTTCTCTTCTATTAAATTCAGTGTATCTGGTTTTATGTTGAGGTCCTTGACCCACTTGGACTTGAGCTTTGTACAGGTGATAAACATGGATCAATTTACATGATCAATTTACATTGTGCTACATGCAGATCATCAGTTAGATCAGAACGTTTGTTGAAGATGCTTTCTTTTTTCCACTGTATGGTTTTGGCTTCTTTGTCAAAGATCAATTGTCCATAAGCCTGTGGATTTATTTCTGAGTCTTTGATTCTGTAGCCGTCTAGCAGCCACAGATGGACTGGGTTCACCTGAAAGGGAGGCTGGAAATGAAAGAGATGGAGGGATGAAATAAACATGAAGCCAAGACAAAGTTTTCTGATCAAGGCTCAA